AGTCAGATGGCCGGGGACTGGGTGCTGGCTGAATGGAGCACTGGGTGAATGGGCTGGAATGGCTGAAAGATGAAAGGCCTGGAGGTTCTGGGTCAGTTGCAGGGGAGGTTGGCCCTGCTGTTTGGCTCAAACAACCCTGTTACTAAAGAGATAGAGGAAGTAACAGGAATTGTCAAAAGAGGCTGGGAAGTGAAACTGGCACCCTGTCCCCACTACATCCTCTTCTACCCATGCCCGGAAGTCGGTAGGGAGACAGGGTAGTGAGTGGAGGGAGGTGGGAGGGCCCCCTTTCAGCCGCAGGTCCCAGGAAGTTTGCTTCACACTGTCCCACTGATCCCTGCTTCGGCCCTGAGAGCAGCCTGAGATGACAGCACAGGGGCCCTTCTCTTGTTCCAAGACAGAAGGTAAAGCTCACCACTGACTCCCTGGACAGGTGGGGGTTGCAGTGGGGGTGGGGAGCTGCCTTCTATGTGCCTGGAGTCCCCTTTCCAATGCCCGCCCACTGACGGCCATGTACATTTTTAGCTGGAACATTTTCCTCCTCACCAAGCTCCCCAGAGTTAGGCCCTCTGTTGCTATGGAGACGTGCTGGGGAAGATGCACACGCCTGGTTTCATGAAGTCCTCAGAGAGCTTGGAACACAGCCAATTAGGCGGGAGTGAAAGATGGCGCTCAGGAAGCCCTAGGAAAAGCCTCTCCCTCTCCAGAGGCGCTGGCTGGAGATCTTGCAGCCAGGGGGCGGGGGAAAAAGAGGCTGTCCTCACAGTGCCTCTGCCAGCCCTGGGCAAAGCTGTAGCAAGGAACCACACACATGGCTGATGCGTGCAGAGGCCAGGGGAGGACAGGGTGGCTGCGGGTGGGGTGGAGCTTCAGGCAGGGTCTTCCGCTCTTGCCAGATGGGAGCGGTGCTGACTCAGGGCTGCCTGGGACCAAGGGTAGTGGCCAGGCTGGCCAGCAGGGCACCAGGCCTAGCTGTTCTGCCCACACGACCCGCAGGCCCAGCAGCTCACAATGGAACAGGGCCCACAGGGAGGAGGGAAGGCAGGCCAGCCAACGGGCCGCCAGACACCAAAATTAAGCACCAAAAATGGAGGGTCTGAGCCCTGTGAGCGCTGCCCAGGAGGGAGCAACACAGGAAGAGGGCGAGGCCTCCCGGAGGGCGTCAGGGCCGAGTGGCTTCCACACATTCAGTTTTCTATAGCAAGCTTCCACATGGGATTTTGTTTGAAAAAAGGGCTCAACTGCTGAAAACGAGTTTGAAAACCCCTGATCTCAAGAAGTATGTGGGTGTTTGGGAAAATCCAGATGTGTCTGCAGGCTGGTGTGTGTGTGTTTCATTCAGTTTGGGAGGTCTGCAGTAGCCTCTTCTGTATCTGTAGAGAGGAAAGGCCCAGGGCTTGGTGGCCAGAAGCCCTGGCCAGGTGGAATCCCAGCTCTGCCACTAAAAGTGCTGTGACCACGGACAAGTGGCCAACTTTCTGAGCTGTGGTTTCCTCATCTGTAAACCAAGCAACGAAACAGTCCTTCCTCGTGGGGCTCTTGTGAGGATTCTGCAGTGATGAATTTGAAAAACCAAGGAGGGGACAGACAGCAAACAGTAGCATCTCCAAGATGAGTAGAGGACCCTTCTGGGTGGGGAGCAGGTGGCATGGCTGATCTCTCTAGAAGGTGGGAGAAGGCATGGCTCTCTGTGGGGGAGGACCGTGGCTGGGGTGGGTTGGCTCATGTCCCCCCACCCTGGTGTGTTGACCTTAGAGCCTGAAAGGAGACACCGGGCTGGGGTCAGGCTGGGGCCCAGAGGCCCAGGGCCTGTAACAGGATCTGCTGCCACCTGCCCCTGACACCAGCCGAGTTCATGTTTGGTAGCAACTCAGCGCTGTTTGCTGGCTGACAACTGGGCAGGGCACAGCCCCAGGAAGATGTGAGGTCTCACCTACTCTGCCCCGAGCCTAGTGCCGCACCAAGGGCCTGCAGGCATCTTCCTGGCTCCCCGACTCTCCCAGAGAACAGGTCTCCAGGGAGAGGGTGGGAACAAGAACTGGCATCTCAATTCCATCTAAATGTCCCAGGTGAATTCCCCATTCCTCATCCCGGTAAGGGGGTGCCCCATGCTGAGAGGAAAGACCAGACCTGCTGAGAGGCTCTCAGCTTCTGACCCTGCCCTGGGAGATGCCATAGCTGTGCTGGCAGCCCACAGGGATTCGAAAGTGTTGTCCAAGTTGTTTAGGGTGACCAGACACCATACCTCCAAGGGGGCGCTTTGGGCAGTGACAGCCAAAGACATGGGCTCTGGGGAAGTCCCCAGAAATTCCCACCTCAGGACCTTCCTTCTTCTCTCCCTTCCTGGATCTCAGGGAGTGGGGATGTGTGGCCACATCTCATGTGCTCGAGACCCTGCTCTCCCAGGAAGCCTTCCCTGAGGACGGAGTCCCTCCTGGCCACACAACCACCTCAGGGTCACGCTTAGTTACTGTGGGGCTCATGGATGTGATTCCTATCCTGGCCCTCCCCAGGCTGAGAGGGACAGAGCCCCAGTCTCCTGCCTGCTTTGTTATTTCCCATGGGACAGCAGCTCAACAGAGCTCAGGACGCAGCCCAGATGCAGAGCCAGGGAATCCAGAGGCACCCACACGCTTCCAGGTATGAAGCTCTGGCCAGGGATGCTACCCATGCAGAGCCCGGAAAGTCCTGCCTGTTAAGGCCATGAAGGCGTAGGACCTAAGGGGCCTAGAGCCTTGCTGGGGTCTGGGCTCACACTCAGCAGGGAGCCTCCCTGTGGGACCCAGGTCCTCGGCAGAGGCACAGTGTGTGGCCAGGGGCTATGGCCTGGGAGGACATGAGGGGAAAAGGATCTTGCCTTTTCAGAATCCCATTGCACACCATCCCACCTCGTAAGTTCAGTGCCTGACGATGCTCTCCAAGGGTGGGCAGCATAAAGGTCTAGGGGTGTGCATGCCTCTTCTTCTTTTGAGGGGGGCCTGCCCTGGGAAGCAGCTCGGGCGCAAGGCCAGCTGTGGGCCAGGCGGAGCCCTCCGTCCCCACCCCTGCCCTCAAGTATTTATAGAAGTTATTTTGGGAATTTTCTTTCTGAGCTCAAGGCACATTCCTGGGATTCTGTAACAGCCTTTCCAGCTGGGAAGCCGGGAATCAGCTGGAAGCTGCAGCAGCCTTCTGGTCCCTGGAGCCTGTGTTTGGGGACACCAGGGCTGCTGTGAGGAGCCTGCTCTACAGGAAGGGCCCCTCCCTTTCATCACCCTGGAACACGGACACACCCATCCAGGAAGGCCCTCATTCCGGCCCAGCTCCATGCTCTCAGGAACTCTAGATTCTCTCAGGTGTGTCAGCCTCAACCTGTCCAACCAGACCTGGAATGGGAAGGGGGAGGCGCCTCTCCAGGCTGAGAACCTCCCACTCCCATCACCACAGCCCTCCTGAAGCCAGGGCAGCTCCAAAGCTACAGCTGGGTCCCACTTCCCTGTTGGGGGGAAGGGGCCCAAACCCTTCCAGCCCCACCCAGTGCTGGAGTGGGATGTGTTCACCCCAGATCCCCCTAGGCCTCAAAGGAAGAGGCACCTACTGAGAAGGGCCCAGATTCATATGGAGCCCAACCTAGGTGGGGGTCTCCTGGGGCAGTGGGTGCCTGTCCCTTTCTCTTCTGGGGTCCTTTACAAGTGAGATGTTAAAGAACACCAGTAGGCCTCTTCAGCTGGGGCTAGGGGTTGTCCATTTTCAGAGGGACAGGGGCCAGCGGCTAGCGGCCAGGTGGGTCACATCCTGGGGGACTTCGGAGCCTGACAAGCCACCAGGAAACTGACTTCTTTGCCAGCCATCTCCTCTGGGCAGGGGACTGGGGCTTTTCTCCTCCCCTTCCTGGGCTGGTATCAGGTTCTAGGTCTGCAGGGGCCTCTGCCCACCCTGGCGCACTACCTGGCCCACTCCTCCAGGCTCAGTCAGGAGGCTGTGGCTAGGCCTCTGGATCTCGGGTTCTAGAAGTGAGCCCCCGTGTTGGGGAGTGAGAAGGGGGACCAGTCACAGCAGCTCCCCTCTCTGGGCAGGAGGCACAGCCTAAGGCACAGTGAAGGCCAGTTTGGGGAGGGGGTCTACTGGACAGGGGGAAAAGTCTGCACCTTTTCTCTCCATGTAGGGTGAGTCTTTCTAACTCCTTTTTTGAAAAAAATGATTCTGGAGCTTAATTAAGCCAGCAGTGCTCAAATATCATTCTTTTTTTTTTTTTTTTTTTTTAAAGACGGGTTTCATCATATTGGTCAGGCTGGTCTTGAACTCGTGACCTCAGGTGATCTGCCCGCCTCAGTCTCCCAAAGTGCTAGGATTACAGGCGTGAACCACCACGCCTGGCTCAAGTATCATTGTGATCCGAATCTATGGCAGGCTTCCTCATTAGAGCTGGTGACGGACTTCAGGAGCCTACAACAGCCTAAGGTTTTCCAAAAGTCCTGAGCCAGGGCTCAGGGTGTATGCAGGGGGCTGTGCCAGCCCAGGGATAAGGTGGTTGTAGAGGGGCCTCTGATCCCCATCGAGCAGGTGCTGCGGGACATACCCTTGCACCCCCCACACCGTGGGCCTGCAGAACCCTCTACTTCTTTCTCCACTTTCCCATCAGGGAGTGTGACCTCAGGCAGTACTGGAGAGGGGTGAAGAGAGAGCTCACAATAAAACCACAGCATCACAGGTCACACAGCCAAGATGTTCCTATTGAACTTTCCTGCCCAGCAGAAGCAAGATTCCAAGTCCTCTCATGGCCTAGACCCCTCTAAGCTACCTGCCGCAGCTCAAGAAATGAACGTGGAGAGAGAAGCCTAGAGCTGGTGGTACGTCCTGGACCCTGAGACATGGGCATAAGCAGCAGAGGCCACTGGTCCAGGAACCCGGGACCCTGCTGTTCTGTACACGGAGCTCTGCATAGTGTCGGGGCACCTCCAAAATGCCAGGCACTGAGTGTCGCTCCTCAGCTGCTCAGAACGTCCTTCCTCCTTCAAGTCAGAAAACAGATGCTGAACCAGATGTTGAACCAGTATGACGACAGGCCAGGGCCTCCTCAGAGCCTGCCACCGCAGAGCCTCCACCCCAATGGGCACAGATTACCCAAGGTATCTCCCTCATCCCTCAACTCATTCTCCCCTGCAAAGCAGGCTCCCCTCCCCCTTAGCTAAGGTTAGCCCAGGCCTGGCACTGTGTGTACTCTTGTCCCATCCACAAGGCAGCTAGGGTCTGTGTCCTGTACATCTGTGCTGGCGCCAGATTTCCCTGTGGACTTGGTGAGGATGGAGTGGCTTTACTGCAATGAGTCTCTGGGGCTTGGCCCCAGGCTTCCACTCCCACCCGAGAACCAAGAGCATCTGAACATGGCCTGGCAGCTATGCTTCAAAGTGAAAAGCATGAAAATGACCCCAATGACTGGACCATTAACTTACAGAATTATTTAACGTAATTCTAACAATAGCCCTTGGTGCTTGGTAGAGCAAGCCCTATTTTACAGATGAGAACACTGAGCTTCTGAGAGGTTACGGATCTTGGTCAGTGAGTGAAGGCAAAGTGGGACTCAGCCAACCAACCCAAGGAAAACCTCGAAGGCAGCTTGGAAGTCCCCGTCCCTGCCAGGTACTCCCTGCCTGTCTTCTCAGCACCCTGCTGGCATCACAAGGAAATCCAGGGCAAAGATCCTCTTCCCTCAGTAAGTATGGCCCAACAGAAACCAGCCTGGTCCGAGGTGGGACTCAGGCTCAGGCCACATGCCACCAAGTCTTCTATGTGAAAATAGCAGTAAAAATGCCCAGCGGTGACTCATCTTTTCACAGCTTTCAGTTCACCTGAGACCTAAAATGACCCCTTGAAGAGTCTAAATTATCACAAGAGTCTAAATTATCATCCCAATTTGATAGGAAAAAAAACTGACCCAATGCTATGGTTTGAATGTGTCCCTCAAAATTCATGTGTTAGAAACTTAAGCCTCAATCAGCAGGACTGAAGTGTGAGGCCTTTAAGAGGTGAGGTCAGCGGGTCTTTGCCCTCCTGAATGGCTTGTTGCTGTTATCTCAGGAGTGGGTTCCTGATAAGAGGATGAGCTCTGCTTTCCCTTCTGTCACACTCTCTTGCCCTTCCACCTTCTGCCATGGGATGAGGCAGCAAGAATGCCCTCGCCAGATGTGGCCCTCAATCTTCGACTTCTCAGCTCCAGAACTATAAGCCAAATAAGTTTCTGCTTATTGTAAATTACTATAAAAATATATTTTTAAAAAAGGCCACACATGGTGGCTCATGCCTGTGATCTCAGCACTTTGGGAGTCTGAGGTGGGAGGACTGCTTGAGCCCAAGAGCTCAAGACCAACTTGGGCAACACAGCGAGACCTTGTCTCTACAGAAAAATAAAAACAAAATAAAAGAATAATAAATTGTCCAGTCTAAGGTATTCTGTTATAGCAACACAAAATGGACCAAGATGCCCAGTGAGGAAAGTGACCCTCGAGTGCCACCGTAACGCAGGGCTGCTTGTCTTAGGTTTGTCACCCCTCGTGTCTGGTCCAGCCCTCCACGATGGAGAAGAGGAGCAGCCAGCAGCAGGAGGGGGTGATGGATGCAGCACTGTGTGGTCAGAGTTCACCCTTTTGGCCTTAGAGACCAAAGCCTTCTTGGTGAAGTCCCAGAGCACCTAAAAAGGCCCAGCCCAGAGCCTCAGGGCTTGGATGGGCAGAGCTCTGGCCCTCAGTGACTCAGGTCCCTCCTTGGGAGGTACCAGGGGTGGTGGCAGGGAGCTTCTGGGGACTTAAGATGTGCCCCCTCAAGCCACAGCCTGGGGTGAGGGATGAGGGGCTCTGAGGCCATACCCATGCTCTTGATTCCCCAAACCCACTTAAAGAATGAGGCAGCCTGCTCCATACTGGCACAAGAGGGAACCAATAAAGGGAAATCATGCATTGTCACTCTGTCATCAAGAGGACTGCAGCTAACAATGCCGTCTTCCTGTCTTTCCAGGGGCATTTGGAGAGAGAAGGTGCTGGGCATCACATGTCATAATGCTTCAGAAACTGCATCCCAGCAATTATATCACTAAAGCCAAAGCTCATGCAGAGCCATCTCCCCCCTGCTGCAGGGGTGCCTGATGGGGAGGGGTTCTGGAGAGCCTGGAACTCCCTCACCAAGAAGAAAACATGAGGAGGGGAGGGGCTGGGGCAGGGGAGTGACCAGGAAACTCCTCCCCTCCAGAGTCTGCCCCTGGGAGAAGAGGGCAGAGTGCCACCCGCAGACACCTCGCCTGCCCACTAGTGCCTGAGAGTGTCAAGTTGTCTCTTGCAGTGCAGACAAGCTGCACTGAAGCATCCACACTCTCCTTAGCCAAGCTGAGGGCAGGGAAAGTGGGTGTCTCTGTGGCCAGGGCTAGAACCTTCTTCAGGGGGTGCTGAAGGGTAGCAGAACATGCCACCCAAAAATATGCCACCTGGGCATAAGGATCATTTTGAGCTAAAGGCAACAGAGACAAGAAAAGCTCTCTGCCCTCCCACTATTTGCCTAAAAGCAGGATATAAATTTACAAGGGTGTCCCTCCTCCCTTCTCAACCAGGAAGGACAAAGGTTGATTACAGAACACAATCTTAGCCCCCTATCAGCCTGGAGATGACACAGAGGAATCTATATAACAAGCTTTGCTAACTAGCCTTTATCTACCATTAGTTTCCCATGGATTTATCTTCCCACAATTTGCCATCCTCAGAGACTCCAGGTCCTTTTTCTTTGTCTCATTGCTTCTTTTAAATTGTATGCTCTTGGTTGAAGATGCTATGTAAGCCAGACTTCTAAGCCACCTCTTTAAACTTTTCTCATTTTCCCTGAGTATCTCCCATGAGCACATTTTATACATGTTAATAAAGTTTTGTTTGTTTTTCCTTGTTAATCTGTCTTCTGTTACTAGGGTCCCAGCTAAGGTAGAGGGAAAATTGTTTTTTCCTTCCCTACACTGAGAAAGCAAGTCAAGCCAATCATTCCATGAGGTGCTCTAATCTCAGCCTCATGACCAACCAATGACCCTCCCATCATGAAGGTCAGGTAACCTCAAAGGAACCCCCTCCTGGAAGGGCTCTCAATGACCCGACCAGTCCACCAGTTACTAGTGGGCCTCCCTGATGTCCTCAGGTGCCCCTACTGTCCTTGGAAGTTCCTGATGCAGAGGAGATCCAGGGAGATGGCAGGACAGAGATAAGCTCCAAGCAGAGTGCAGGCTGCCTGTGGTCCCTTCCTGGCCAAGCCTTGAAGCCCTCTCTGAAGGGCAGTGTCAACCGGCCACACCTGCGCATCTTGGGAGGGCCTCTGCCTTCCTTCTCACGTTTCCCCAGGGGCAGGCAGGCAAAGTTCACCCTTCCCCTTCTTGGCTAGACTTTTCTGCCAGTGAATTCGGTTCTGAATACCCTAGTCGAGTGGGATTTCCAGCTACTTGGAGAGAAGTCTGGGACCGTGCTGGCAGACTGTCAGGACCTGCTCCTGTGATTTGATTTCCACTGCAGAGAGCACATTTCTTTTTCTTTCTACACTTGCCAGCTTCCCGAAGGCCCCTGGCCATCCTTAAGCCCAGCGCAGACGGCAGCCAGCAGGACCAGAGCTTGATGGACAAACTTGGGATAAACTCTGCTGGTTCTCTTGCCCAGCAGAGAATTGCCAAGGTGGCATCTCCTTCCTGCCTAGTCTGGGTAGAAAACTCTAAGCTAAACCCAGAGCAGGGCTAGTACCACAGAAACATCTCTTATCGCATCTAGGGCAGGGATAGCCAGACACGGAGGGTAGAGAACCCACTCTTTGTGAAAATTTATATTCTTAGAAACATGGGGCCCCTGGCCCCTAAGAGTAAAGTCTTTAACTCCCAGTGGGCTTTCTTCACCCTCTTGGCACTTGCCAATCCCACCCTAAGGACTGTGGAGCCAAACTCAGCACCCACGCAGCACACTAAGAATATCTCCGCCCTCCTCTTTCCAGGCCTCAGGGAGTCTTTCCAGACCTGGAGACCCTAAACTCTTCCAGCCCAGCTTTGTGGGTGGCTGTGCCCTCAGGAGAGGGGACACTCTCCTTTCCCTTGTACTGATCAGAGGCCAATATCCTCATAAAGTCACAGTGGCATGGTAAGGCCAGAGTGTCCTACCTGGGAGCCTGCCCTGGGAGGTATCACAGCAGGTATCACCTCCCTTCCACATTCCTCTCTTGGTAATTCTCCAAGACTGTACCAACCTCCAGAGCTCACAAAGGCTCAGATGACTGATGTGTCTCTTTCCTCTACTATTTTTACAATGAATTCCTTACATAAATGTGAAACTGACTTAGAATGACAGCTAGTAGTTCCTATCATTGTATCATGTTGAAAAAGATTCCAAGATCACATCTCTGCTCAGTGGGAAAAAGGGGCTGTGATTGATTAGCAATGTCTGATACTGGTGAGGGACTGAAGTGGGGTGGCATACTCTGCGCTGTGCTTTGCAATCTCTGGGACTGCACTGCAGGCACTTTCACATGTACCTTTCACACTTTCACATGCATCACCTCATTTGATTAGAACAACACTATGGCCCAGGAACAAGGATTATTATCTGTAGAAGGGGACACCAGGAACATGCAAGTTAAGTGTCTTTTCCTAAGTCCCCCAAGTGGATCAGGGCCAGAGCCAGGATTAGACCCCAGATGTCCTGAGTCTCAGACCAGCACAGGGAAGACACTTAAATCTGGGAACACTTGAGATTGACACACCAAAGCATTCAAATGTCTTTAGAAAAAGAGTGCTTCGTAAATCTTCCCCAGGCTTCACATTTGCTGTTCTTTATGCATATGAGTGGGATGCTGGCAGGAACAGAGCCTGTAGACAGGGGATGGGCTGCCCACGCAGAAGCCGACCGCCCCTCTGGTTGCTTGTAACTTTAAAAGAGGGCAGGGCTGGCTCTGACTTGCTCCAATTCCATCAAATCAGCAGGGAACCTCAGGAAGAAAAAAGGTACCATTTCAGAAACATCTGCAGGGAGCCACTCTGGATAGCTATTCAGTTACCATGGAAACCCACTGTTGGAAACAGCTTCAATTTCAGGAAAATAGCTACAAACAATAATAAGCATAAATGAAAAATGGTACACTGTTACTTCAAAATTGTACTTGTTATTGGATTTTGTTGGGTTTTCAGGGCTGAGCTTGCCGGCTAATATCCGTCAACACAGTGGAAGGCAGACATCTCTGCCTGGCTGCAGGCCTAATGATAGAGCCCAGACCCTCCCTCCCACCGCCCTAATCAAATTTCTGGATGTGACCTCTGGCGAGGCATTTATCAGGGAAGCTAACGTCTAAAATCGAGGGAGGAAGGAAGAAGCCTCTTGCAGAAAAGCAAACATTTGCTGAGCCGACTGGAAGGCAATGCGGAGCCACTTGGGAGGGAACATGAACAAGGGTGTATGGTGGCTGCATGGGCTTTCTTCATCTGAGGCTGAACATTCACACAAACCTACGTTAGAAATCTTTATAGAAATCAGGCAGTGGGAATAATAGCTGAGCTAGGAATTTCTATTCTATTTCCTTTTCAAGGATTCTCAGGTTGGAAAGGACCTTATGAAGATGACCTGTTCTGGCTCCTCGGCATGTGATTTGCATTCTCTTGGCGACACTCTCAGAGATGATTACCGAGTATGTGCCTAGACTATGCTAAGAGTTATAATGTTTTCCCTGACACGGCTGAAATCTAACTCCCTGTAGCTTCTACTCATGGACAAATCAGCCCCCTTTTGGCAATGCCAACCCTCCAGCCATCTGGAGCGATTCTCCTGATCCCTCTGTGCTCTCTACATGGCAGATGTCACGGATACCCTAATGGCTGTTCTCAGCGCACTCTCACAGGGGAACATTCGAGGTGGAACCCAGACCCTAACAGGGAAAGACTATTGCTAACTATGGGCTCCTAGATTGTCCTTCAAAAATCACCTGTGCAGATGCAGGCTTGCATGCTTCCAGATCACTACCTTTATCCGGCTACCTGTTCTCTGGAAGCAGCAAAGGAAAGCAGGGGAAAAATGATAATCTATAGGGTCTATCATAGAGCTGGTGCTCAATAAATGTTTCCTGGACCAGACGATACCCACTGGACAGATAATTAAAACCAAGGTTCCAAGAAGGTGGCTGACCTGCCCATGATCACCAGGTAGAGGTAAGGCCAGAACAAGAGCATCAGCATCCTGCTCCCCAGCCTCTGAGCTTCCCACAGGGAGGCCACTGTGCCTAGGGCACCCAAGTCCTGAGCCCATGAATGAGGACTAGGGGTTACTAGATCCTTTTAGTACCCCAGGGATCATTCTCAATATGTGCTTGAGTCCGGCCTGACATGGCAGCCCACCCCAGAAACCCCCCTGAATCCCAGCAAAGAGATGTGGAGCTCCTCGGAAGTGGAGGAGGCAGGGAGGGTCTGGGACTCCCAGAAAGAAGAGCACTTTGGTAATTGCCTAGAGTCTGCATTAATCTCCAGGGTAAGGGTCTCCTGGGTAACAATGAGAGCATTCTGGGGCTAGATGGCTTTGTAGAAACTTACAGCAAAAGGAAGTCACAAAGAGTATCAACCAAACCTTCTAGATTTTGTAATCAACACAGACCCTGATTGAAGGGAAATGGCCTGTGTCTACAAGAGAAGGCTAAGGTATCCCAAGCACTGTCTCTTCCAACAGAGCAGGAGGGAAGCCCCCTCTCCCAGACTCCAGGGAGCAGCAGTAACAAGGCACAGGCAGGCAGTGGAGTATGAGGACAAGGAAAGACAAAGCGGGATAAGGGCCCTGAGGCAGTGGGAGGAGGTGGCGGTAATGGGGGGGTCTGACTCACCAGGCTGTGCATGATGCACACGCCATCTGGGTTCACCGTGAGCGCCTCCTTGTACAGCTGCTTGGCCTCCTCCAAGTTGCCCTTCACCTCAGCCAGCCGGCCCCGCATGTAGAGTACTGAGTGAGAAGTGGGGAAGAGGCCCGCCGCCTCCTGGATGCAGAAACCTGCTTCCTTGAGGTGCTGCTGCTCCATGAACAGCTCAGCTGCAAAACCAGAAGGGCAGTGGGAGGTGTGAGTGGTGGGGAGTTAGAGGCATCCTGACCCCCTCCCCGCATCCTCAGAGCTGGGGAACTGGTCTTAGGTGACGGACACTATCCCACTGAGTCACAACATGGGACACACTGACCATAGGATGCAGTGGGAACACTAAGTAATGGTTTCTGAGTGCTTCCTCTGTGTCAGGGACCTTGCTAAGTGCCAGTCAATGGCATCAAGATCATTCCAGTTAATGCTCACAAAAACCCTGTAAAACAAGTACTCTTTTTTTTTTTTTTTTTTTTTTTTTGAGACAGGATCTCCTTGGTCGCCCAGGCTGGAGTGCAGTGGTACGACCGTGGCTCACGGCAGCAACTTAAGAAAAATAATTATTTATTTATTTAGAGACAGAGTCTCCCTGTGTCACCTAGGCTGGAGTGCAGTGGCATGATCTCAGCTCACTGTAACCTCTGCCCCCCGGGCTCAAGTGATTTTCCTGTCTCAGCCTCCCGTGTAGCTGGAATTACAGGCATGCACCATCACGCCTGGCTAATTTTTGTATTTTTAGTAGAGGGACTCAGGCTGGTCTCGAACTCCTGGCCTCAAGTGATCTGCCCACCTCAGCTTCCCAAAGTGCTGAGATTACAAGTGTAAGCCACTGTGCCCGGCCTCACTGCAGCCTTGACCTCCTACCTCAGTCTGTCTCCTGAGTAGCTGGGACTACAAATGTATGTGAACATGCCTGGCTAATTTTTGTATTTTTTGTAGAGATGGGTTTTCGTCACGTTGCCCGGGCTAGTCTTGAACTCTTAGGCTCAAGAGATCCATCCGCCTCGGCCTCCCAAAGTGCTGAGATTATAGGCATGAT